AATATCTCAGTCACCATCACTGCCGCAACTATCCTCGTCGGCGAAATTCAGATGGATAAAGCTCTTACTGTCAGAATTGCGTCTTACCTCTTCTTGTTTCTTTTCGCAACTACTTTTAGACTTTATCTATTACACTGACATGGTTTCTATTTGCATAAGTATCTGTAGAAAAATCCACTGATAAAGTTACTAAAATTTAATGTCATTTTCTTTTGCCAGCGACAAAGTTTATTTTCGCTCTGTCTGAACTTGCTTTTTAATGAGTGTCAATAAAATGACGAGATAATCTACGCAAGGAATTGGCTTCAATTTTATTTTTAATGACTTTTCATTCTTCTTGGAATGGGTTCAACAAATGTACATTTGAAAAAAGAAACTCGTGAATGATATTTAAATAACTTTCGGTATGAACAACAAAAAGAGGTGCTGGTTTGGTGTGGATATGCAGGTAGATGTGAGTTTCACTGCGACATGAGATAGGATTAGTATCTACAAACACTCTCATCACCACACACTGAAAAAAAGACATCTCACGGAACTTCAAAAGTTTCGTGATAATTTATTATACCTCAGAAGGTTTCCACTGGGTTTCAGTGTAGGTTTGCATGTGGCAATGCAGAAAAACTCCAGATAACACCCCTGCCACAGCCACAGTTACATCCATACCCATATTCACCAGAGATGTGTGGGGCATCGAATTTTGATGCCCTGCGGATTCTGTCTCGTGGAACTTCTTAACCCGCCTCGCCGATTCCCGTAGATTGTTTTGCTGAACACTCCCCTACCCGTCCCGCCTCGCCCCCGTGAGCTCATGAAAATTTTTATTCATCATTTAATTTACTTTCAATGATTCGTTTCACTGGAGAAAGAGCAAATGAATGCCCATATGGAGATAGTTTCGCAAGGTTCACTTTTTAATTTTCCAAAAGCGCATATTTTTTCGGTTGTTCTTTCAGAAATATCTTGATATCTAAAGTGTTATATTTTATAGCACTTGATGAAAATTAGCCAGAAGAGTTAGAAGTATTTGATGATGGACAAGTGGCATTCGATGGCAAGATATCATTAGAGGATTCATCAGATAAGAAATCATGCAATTGAATCATTATTATGGATAAAAAAATTAAAAAATTAGTGTACTGCATGATCTATAATTTCACGATCACTATCACGTGTGCTCATAGTCGCTCATGATTAGAAAATATTTTTGTGATTCTCAGTCTGAACAAATTTTCTTCATGATTGAACGTGACCATGATCTTGGAAATAATTCGTGATTCTAATCATGATCAAAAATATCACTCATGCAGTACAATGCAACAAATCCTCAATATCTATTCGAAGAACCAAATGAATTATTGTTTTTTTGATTTTTATTACAAGTTAATAATCGAAATTAAATATGAAAAACGATTAGGAAAGGAAAAAACGAAAGAACAAGTAAGATTGTAGTTGATAAATTGAAAACAATGAGCTAATCGATATGTTTCTTATCACATATGTGGAATAATGATACCTATCGATTATTTTTTGATGGTCCTCCATTGCGCCCCGTGAAAATCTTCTACTCGCTTGAACCCGTGAGCAATTATCCTCGTCCCGTTCGAGACTCGCATCTTTCTTTTTACAGCCTAATCTCACTCGGACCGTCCGTGAGGCGATCGATGCTCGCGCCCCGCCGGCCCCGAGTAAACATCGAAAAATTTTTCTCCGTCCGGCCGTCATCACATGGCTTCGCGAGTCAAAACCCGTGGACCGTACATCTCTGATTTGAAATAGGAGTTTAAAGGCCACAGCGTGACCTAAGAAATGCAGTCGATGAAGCATGGAATCATCTATTAACAAATATTATTCAAGAACACTTAAATATATCAACACCTTGTATTTTCATATTAAATTTTTATTTGTATTATAAACGTCTATACTTCCACTATTCAAATATATCTACGAAAATTTCTACTGATCGTAAACTCTATATTTTAAATCAAAAATACGATTCGTTACAATTTTGTAGTTAGTAATCTGGTCGATATGTGTTGATCGGTACTAGTGAAGATTCATAAAGAACAATATTTAATATCAACTGTGTCTTTAAAAGATCTTTTCTGTTTCAAAATGTGAATATAACCTTGAGAAAGAATTGACTTTTATTATATTACTTTTAAATTCTATTTTTTACCATGCCAAAATAAGCCTGATTCAATAATATAAGAAAGTCATTAGATTTTTTTTTGACAAAGAAATGTACTGATCATTGTGTATGAAAATGTATTATTATAACCAACGCACTAAAGTGCTAAAAAGAAATAGAGAGAATAATTTGACAGAAAGACAAAGACAAGACCGAATAATTCTTTTTTTTTTCGTCAAGGTTTATTTGTTGTGCATAGAAGTTTTCAATAAAACCTCTATCATTATGGAAATGTGTTTGATTATAAATAAAAACAAAATGTTTTAACAACATTGATCTTAGTTTGTCACTTAGTATATTATGTGATAAGAAGATGTTAATTTGTAATATGTCAGAATTCAGACGAATAACGTCGAATAATAAATTGAAATGAGCGAGATAACATCAAAGCTTTTCGGCATAGGATGTAGCACAGATTAATAATCATGTTTCAAAAAATAGTAGATATAAATTTGTAATTAAGTTTCTGATTTCCTTGCAGAAAATCCTCTATAAAAGGAAAAAATTATACCTTCTGCTCAATAATTAAGCAGTATCACATAGACTGTAACATGACAGAAAACTATTAGTAACAAGATAAACTAAAGACAAATGGTTCATGAAATTAATTTTTATCTTATTCAAGAGAAATATTGCAATATAGAATTGTATGCTTCAAGAGTTTGCAATGATAGAATAAGTATGAATATTAAATTGAAACAGTCAGCTATACAATGAAACATAGTTAATGATTATGTAGTCTATGCCAATTTAATAAGAAATATCAATATTCTTATGAAAAAGAAAGAATAGAAAAAATAGACATAATGATATTTTATTATATATATTAAATTCTAATCAGATAACATAAATCCTGACTTCTGCTTTAAATGGCATTGATATAAAGGTAAACAACCTTTCTGAATCAATTCAATTGGCGATCAGATTTGACGTAATAATATATCGAAGTAGAATTTAAAGAAAGTTTTATGAACTGCTTTGGAATGATGAAGAAGCGAGAAATCATAACTACGTATAGTCTTGAATGTTCACTACTTTCAAAGATTAGTTTGAAATTATGTCGAGGTGGTAAAAATCTTTCGATAATTTTAATACTTCTGTTGTCTCTTACAATGTAGCCTTCTCAACTTGAAAATGACTTTTTGAGTTCAGACTCAATGCATAAGGTAGATTCCAATGAGATATTAAAAAATTCAAAATGATAAGAACCCATAGAAATTGTCCACAATGTTAGAACCGTTTTAATGAAATTTAGGTTATAGCATGGCTTGTAGAAATGAATTAAATGATGAAATTTCGTCTACAGATAGGCCTACTTATAACTACAGAGTATCTCAAAAGTTCGGCGTGAAAGTAAATTTGAATAACTCCACTATTTATCAAAACTTAATCAACTGATTGTTTTTCCTCTTGGTAAGCATCACTGCGAAGTTTTTTTTTTTGATACGAACAAAGATCACAAATACTGTTCAAAGTTATTACTTTTGACTAAAATACAAAAAGCAGTCGTTTTTTTTTATTTCCAAAAACAATAACTATGCAGTGTTTCTCTTTTCTTGCTCTGATTTTTTGTGTTTCTTGTAGCGTTTAGATCGACTAGATCTTGAACTATCGTTTCTATGCATTTGTTTTGGTATTTCACTACAAAAAGAAACCTAGTGATGTTAAGTCTGGCCATCACAAAGGTCAAGAAATCGCTTTGTGTTTCGGAATGGTGATTCGTAACTGAAAGAAGTAAACCGATGTTATGATCTTCGTAAACACTAGACTTGATATCATTGAGCTTCTTTTTGTAGTAAAATACCAAAACAAATGCATAGAAACGATAGTCCCAGATCTAGTCGATCTAAACGCTACAAGAAACGCAAAAAATTAGAGCAAGAAAAGAGAAACACTGCATAGTGATTGTTTTTGGAAATCCAAAAAAAAACGACTGCTTTTTGTATTTTAGGCAAAAGTAATAACTTTGAACAGTATTTGTGATCTTTGTTCGTATCAAAAAAAAAACTTCACAGTGATACTTACCAAGAGGAAAAACAATCAGTTGATTAAGTTTTGATAAATAGTGGAATTATTCAAATTTACTTTCACGCCGGACTTTTGAGACAACCTGTAGTTACAAGGAGACCTATCTATGGACGAAATTTCGTTATTCGATTCTTTTTTACAAGCTGTGCTATAAGCTAAAATTTCATTAAAATGGCTATAACTTTGTAGGGAAGACTTATGGATCTTTATCCTTTTGAAGTTTCTAATACCTCATTGGGGTCTACCGTATGTATCGAATCCGCACTCACAAACGGTTTTTAAGTTGGTAACATTCCCTTGTTAGATATATCTTTGTTATATGGCAAACTTCAGATACATAAAATTGTTGCTATTGAACTGATAATTTCATCTAACCGATGAAACCGTTTGATGTTCTTCTCTTAAATAGAAGCATACATCTTCATTACGAATAATACTTTGCATAAAATAAAAGACTCCGGTATCAGATACTATTCATAGTGCTTATGTCGTTCTTTCTTTTATCTTTAATTTCTACTATATAATAACAAGACGCTATTTTAATTATAAATTTATCTTATTTAGACAATCATGTTGTTTTATTATTTTACACAAAGATCTATTACAATAATGGTTTGGCTTTTTGTGTTTTAAATAACGATTGATTTGACAAAAAAATGATAAAAAAAGAAAATTCACATATTCACGCACAGAAAAAAAAAAGGAATAATGAGCATAAATTGAATACATTCTTATAAAATCAGAATAGGAATGATTATTTTCTTTTTGGCTTAATTATTTTTTAAGAAGTACAACATGTATTTTTATTTTTTCCTTTACGAGCATGTCGATCTGGTGGACGATTACCGGATACACGACGTTCATCAAGTGTATCAAACCAATTATCAACAGCACCCATTAGTACTTTGACAACATACTTATAAAGAAAAAAAAAAGAAAATTATTTTTTTTTTAATTAGAAAAACAATTAATTTATTTACTTACATCACCAAAACTAAATGGAAAATCTTTTCCTTGTGCTTTATGAATTTCTTCTCGTTCAGATCTATAATCATCAGCAACATCAATATTAGGTATTTTCTTATCCCAATTATTAAGATAACTAGAAATAATAATAATAATAATAATAAAAGATAATAAATATTAGAAAAAAAATTCCTTTACCCAATACATTCATTATCATCTGTACAAGCAATTATTGTAACTGGAATGCGATTGATTGGTTTACGTTCATGACGAAGTGCATGTTCTAATGTTTTTGTATCGTGTTGTCCATTATCATCTGTTGGTACACCATCTGTAGCAATCAATATTAATAATTTACGTTCTTGAACTTCAAGTTGTTTTTCTTGTAAAATTTGTCGAAGTATACGAACAATTGGTGTTGGTCCTATGATAATATCGTAATTGATAAAAAAAAGAAAAATTTTTTTTCTTTTTTCATATTCTTATTTACCAGATGGTGGAATAGCAAATACAGGAATAAGTTGTTCAGCATTTTTAACATTACGCATTGGTTGACGATTTAAAAAGAAAATGTCTAAAATTAAATTATTATGAAGACTTTAGTTTTTTTATTATTTTCTTATTTACCAACACCAGTTGGATCAAAACTTCATTATATAGACAGAATAAATATTAATTTAAAAATATATTGAAATAAAACTAACTTACACAGAAGCAATATCAACTACAATCGAAACTGTTTGTCGAAGTTCATCCCATCTTGTTGGATTACGATCATATGGACCAGTGATATCACCTAATTTATTTCAAATATTCATTATATATAACAAAATAACAGATGCGGCAGAATAAATATCCCTCGAAGTATTTTCTCAATATCACCACATAAAACTCGCCGGATTGGTCTCGGACTCATGCAGATCGAAGTCTGAAACTTTTAGAGCCAGCGGGCTCTAATGCTATGCCTTAATCTTTTTTTTTAAAGATTAATTCATTGAAGTTTGAAACTAAAATGGAAAAAAATATATAGCAGTCTTGTAGCACTTGAGAATCTCTATCTTGTAATTAGGGCAGTAAAGTTTATGTATCAATATCAATAATGTAAATGAATTATTTCTTTTTCCAAACTTTAGAAAAGTTTGCATTAATCAACGAAAAAATTATGAGTTCATATAATTTAACTTGATTTCAATTTCAAGCAAAATGAATGATGCATCAAACTGAAATGTCAGGATTTCAATAGAGCCTTTTATTAATGTACATTGAGCGAAACAAGCAAAGTTTTTAATAAAGTAATTTTATACGTCAGAAAGTTAATTTGATTGAAATGAATTTCATTGTACATCATAAAAAGGTTCGTACTTAGTTACTACTCTGTCATATTTTTATATAATTTATATAAAGCTAGAAAAAGAAATGTTGCATTGTTCTGGAAAAATAACTTTTGAAAATATTAGAGCTTTTTGTAGTATTATTTATCTAATATATTCCTGCTTAGTATTTTGTAGTAAAACTTGTAATACATTCTCTTGTAGAAAATAGAATTATGAATCTTTTTTATAAAAAGAAAAGATTAAGGCATGATAATATATATTGACAAAAATACTTAGAGATATATTTATGTTTGTGCATTTATTATCTTACCAAGTGGTGTATTCATTGATCCAGAATCTAAATAGATTTAAAAAGAAATTATTTTATATAAAAATAGAATCATCATCAAAACGAAATATTTTTCATTTAATATTATTGTCATCTTACCATCAACAATAAATACAATTTCATATCCTTCTAATCCTCGTAATCTTGTTGCAAATTCTCGATTAATTTCATAACGATCAACTAGATATTGAAATTTGCTCATACGTTCTTCATTTGTTTCTTGTAATGAATTATAACCAACTTGATTTGTTGGTGACGGTAATACAGGGTATTGTTGTGGATTCATATTCAATATAACATTAGTTTATAAGTAATAAAAAAAGAAAAATGTTTTCATGACGTCTTTTTTTTCCTGTACTTCTCTTTGTCTTAATGTTGACTTTCCATTTGAAGCCAAAGATAAATTCTTATTTGAATAAGAAAAGAAAAAAAAAAAGGCGATCTAAAAATAGTTTGTCTTTTTAATAGATGAAATTATATTGATATGTTTATTACTCAACAAAAAAGAGGAAAATACAAAGAGAACATACTGAATAATGCCTGACATTGAATGTAAATAAGCTCTTTTATTTTAACAAGAATTTGGTGCTGACGTCAGAAAAAAAAATGGAAGACAAACATGAATCATAGTAACACTCAATTGTGAACAATACTATTCTCTATTCAGTTTTGGGTTTCTTATCCCCTTCAAGCATACAATAAAGTGGAAGCATATTAAAAAGATACATACAGATGAACTTCTATCTGTTAGACTATTGTATATAATAAAAAAAATATGTATAAATATATTATATGAGGTGCATACAAAAAAAAAAAAAAAAGAAATAAATTGTCATGCGCAACATATCATTAAAATATACAATTAACTGCAATAAAATTATGCATGTGTATTTCACAGTTAGATGATAATGATTTGTCGACCAGAAAAAATTTGATAATCAAAATCAAGGCCATTAAATTGAAGGTGAATCTGTGTAATATGAAATTGAAATTTATTGATCATAAAGGGTATGAAATCAAACAGTTAATAGTGAATAATTAATATTTGATTATATTTAGATATCTTCGCCATTTATTTTTTTAATCAAAAGAAAAATATTTGATAGAAAGAGTTTATTGTTACTTGTGGAGTTATCCAAAGAAGTTTTGTTATAAGATAATACAATTCGATTTCTTACGATGTGAACCAGCACTTGTTATTCGTCCATAACCATCTGTCGCTACTTTCTTTTCATCTAAATCATCAAACCAACTATCAACTCCACCCATTAGAATTTTAACAACATACTTTATAAAAATAGAAAATAAATTAATCAAAACAAAAAAAAGAAAGCCAATCATGTTATTACTTACATCACCAAAACTGAAAGGAAATTGTTTTCCTTGTCGTGCTTGAATTTCTCGTTTTTCATTTCTATAATCATCTACAACATCAAGATTAGAAATTTTTTTATCCCAATCATTTAAATATCCAATACAATCATCATCATCTATTGTAAAAACGAAAAATTTATAAAAATTTTATTTTATTTTTTAATTTTTCTTACCTGTACAAGCAATAATTGTTACAGGTATACGATTAGCAGGTCTACGTTCATGCTTAAGAACATATTCAAATGAACGAATATCTCGATGACCTTGATTATCAGTTGGTACACCATCTGTAGCTATAAGTATTAATAATTTACGTTCTTCGACTTCCTGTTGTTTATCATGAAGTACACGTCGAAGAATCGGAACAATTGGAGTTGGACCTTAAAAAAAATATTTTGTTGTTTTCTTTTTTGAAGATATTCAATTGTTAAAAATACCAGATGGAGGTACAGCAAAGATAGGTATTAATTCTGATGAACTACGAACATGAAATAAAGGTTCACGATTAAGAAAATAAATATCAACACCATCTGGATCAAGAACACTTGCAATATCAACAACAATTGATACAGTTTGTTTTAATTCATCCCCTATGATAACAGAAGACAAAAAAAAAAGAAAAATTCTTTTCGAAAACAAAAAAAAAATGTTCTGAAATATCAATTCATACATCGAGATGGTGCTTTATCAAAAGGACCCGAAAGATCACCTATGGAAATAAAAATAATTAATTTTATATATCTAATAAACAAAAAACAACAACAGTAAATATGAATAAATTACCAAGTGGTGTATTCATTGAACCTGAATCATCACAAATAAATACGATTTCATATCCTTCAAGAGCACGTAATTTTCTAGCAAATGTATGATTAACTAAATCAATAAAAATAAAATCAATTATAAAAGTTTGAAAAATTCTATAACTCACTTTCATAACGATCAACAAGATGTTGAAAACCAGCCATACGTTCGTCACTAGTTGTATGATAATTTGGTAATGACTGACGATATGCTTGTTGATTTAATTGCGTATTAGTATCATATGGTGGTGGTGCAGATGGTACAGATGGATATTGTTGTGGATACATTTCTTAGTTTATGTTATATGATAATATTATAAATATTTACTATCAAATATTAACTTGAGACATTGTGTATATATTATTTCTTTTTTTGCTTTAAGAAATCTGAAGACGTAGAAAAAGTTACAAAGCTAATAAAAAAATATATGCTTTTCCTTTGAAGCGGAAAAGAAGAATGACGTTGAACAACGAGGCCACATTTATTTCAATGTAAAATCTAATTGCCACTGGATGGAGTCAACTGTCATTCTAGATTATATAAAAATTATGTCAACATTTTCTGAATGAAAATAAAAATTTCTAAAATGAATGCTTTTTTTTTTAAAAATCTATTATTCATTATTTCTATCATAGTGACACTAAACTTGAATTTAGTTGAAAAATAAAAATTTCAAAAGATGATGTATGAGAGTAGTAAAAAAAAATATGTTGTTCTAGTGTTATCAATAAAGAATTTTTTTAAATTTAATGTTAAAAAAAGATAAGAAAGATAAATCTTCATATTGTGAAAAACGATCTAAAAAGAGTGCTAAATTATATACGGTAAATACTTGCATGCTCCTCCTACTCCGTAGATCATGATAGGCATCCCTAACAACGACACATCACATACAGGGCTTGGTTTCATGGATTTGCACAGGATTTAGATGTCCATAAGTGTAACACTCAGAGACTAGATGAGTCTCATGGATTCATACTAACAGCTCTAGTGCAGTACAGTGATGACAGAGATTTTTGAAAATCATTGCGGCAGCAGCAACTTTCTATATAGTTCACCGCGTCGCGATAGAATTGGATTTTGGTCGCAGTGCGATTACTGTGCGGGAGCCTTTTCTCTCCGAGGATCGCGCAGTGGCAGTGGTAGATTCTCAGCCACGATGAACATCTATGATTTGCAATTGTTTTTGAGAGTGATAGAGGTAGAAAGTATCTTCGTATGAATATCTGTCAGAAGTAGAGATGTGTCCCAAAATAGATAGATTAAAATAGTTTTTCATTGATTAGCAACAACAAGTGTATCCTGCTTCACATTGCAGTATCGCAGAGATTGCACTAACAGCTTTTATTCATTTTATACATTAATATATGTTCCTATCATATTGGTTATCCTACTCGAAAAAATGACCGAAAGAGATATTCCTCATTAACATAGTACCAGTCAATTTTCCTATCGAACAAATGATACAAAGTTCGATTGTTTATGATAAGTTCCATCTTTTGTTACATTCTGTTTTCAATTTGTATTATTGCTATTTTAACTACAATACAATACGACCACTTTATGTAAGCACTGTCTTATTCTCAACAATGGGCACTTAATTCTGATCTCACGAAATATAACAATCTCTATAATGTGAACAACATATGTTCTATCACTCATGTTCAGAATGAGATAAAAATGATTTTATGTTTATTGCATTATGATAAACAATCGCGTAAGAAAAAGAGATTGACTAGTTGTAAATATTTTAAAAGAATGATATTAGACAATAGCAACAATGATTGATGTAACATCTTGTCATTCTTTTGTGTTACGAGTTAATTTACCTCTAATTAAAATAGTTGAATTGATAGATTGTTGGAAAGATGTTCATCTTATGTAACCAACAAACGATTATTACTAAATTGATTGATCTCGCGAGCATTCATCTTAGAGATATTTTACTGTAAAATGTTACAGTTTATCATGTAGTCGAGTGCACAGAACTCGACATCACCTTGATGTTCGAGAAACATTGTATCTAATCGTCAGATAAAACAAAAAAAATTCATTTATCTGATAAAATAGAAAATCTAACTTTATATTAGGCAAGAAGTTCAATTTGTTTTTTAATCATCTGCTCAACGCAATTCTACTATATTTTCCAAAATGTCATATTTATTCTTTTTTTTTTTCCGGACTACATAATTCTCGACTAATTCATTTTTCCTTTCTTTCCTTAATTATTATTCATACTAATGAATAAGAAAAGAATCATAGTTACTAGCGTCATCAAAAAACAAAAGAAAGTATCTCTCTCATTCATCTTCTATTCTAATAGATAAGAATCACTGCATCAACATTGAATTTTCTTGTTTTCTTATCGACAACATATAAATGAATTTCTTGTTTTGTCGTTCATTGGATGACGATACCAAAACACAAAAGAAAACAGAAAAAGGAAAAAATAGAATCTTCTTTTTTTTTTTTCTTTTTTTTCTGTATATTTATTTTTCGTTAGTAGTACAAGTAGTTGGGTGATGTAAACAAATGAAAAAAAGAAAAAAACGAGCAAACAAAAGAACAAGAAAGGAAGAATGAAAAAAAAAAACAAAGGTCGTTCACTACATGAATATAAAGTGTGCCAGAACAAGTTAAACAGATTTAGTTTTAATGAAAAACAAAACAAAACAAAAAAAAGAAAAGAAAAAGAAAAAACGAAACAATCGTTCCTGGGTAGAAAACAAAACGCATAAAGACATAAGACAAGTATGAATGTGTGGCACCTCCCATTAATATTACACAATTTCCTGAGACCAAGAGAAAAAGAAAACAAAAAAAGGAGGTATACAAAAATAGACTCTATTGTGTGCGTATTATAATAAACAAAAACCATCTCTCACTTTGTTTTTTATCCTAACCTCCAAACTTTGAATATTATTATTTATCTTTTGCATAAGGAGGAAGTGTGTAACAACATAAACCTTTACAATAAGTGAAGTACGCACACAAACATACACAGTTATATATTATGTATACGAGAAGCAATTACACAAGTGCTAGACGACAAAGCTGTACATAAGAATTTTTTGTTTTTAATCAAAACAAAAAAAAAAAAAAGAAGAAATCAAACCGCTGTATATAAGGCAAAGACAAGTTCCAAAAAGAACACATAGTGTTGCCGAGCAAGACCAAAAACACATTGCCTGAGCCGCCTATATACAACAACGAAAAAAACAAAACCGAGTATGAGAGCGACCACTGTCACGCAATGACACAAAAAACAAACAAACAAACAAATCTAGCTACAGAATAATAGAAGACAAAGAAAGAAAAACGAAAAGTGCTTGTATGAAAAAAAAAAAGCAAAGACAAAAAAAAAAAACAAATAAATGTTAGTTGTCATAATGTGACAAACCATTTGAATTTGATGTTGATGATGTTAATAATGGACCCAAATCGGAATTTTTACTTAAATGTTTTTCTAATTTTGTTATTATATGTTTACCATATGTAAATTTTCGAAGTGATTGAATATGTGGACGAACTTTTTGTAAAAGAAGTTTTCGTTGAGCTGGTTCTGCAACATCAATCATCTATGAACATAAGATGAAAAAAATTACAAATATAATAACTTTTGTATTAGTGAACAATGGCAATCTATTTTCTTTTTGATAAAACGTGTTCCATGATCTTTTATTTTAATCCAAAGTCTCATGGGAAAAAAAGATAAACTAGCAAGTTTTATAACTCTATATTGACATTCAAGACTATTAATATGCATGAAAATAATAATGTCACTGTTGCATGTTCACAGAAAAAAGAACCTTCCATTTAGTGAGACGTGATTTACATACAAATTTCTAGTCTAGTTGAAGACTATTTCATGTTAGAAAACTTGCTTTATCTAATAAAATAGACAATGACAAACTTTGTATAATCAGATGTGACTTTCTATAAATTTTATGAATAATATATATTATTTCAATATATAAACAAATTTCCCAATAGATCTAAATGCTAATTATATTGTTGACAAGATTCTCCGTCATCATATTGTATAGAAATACACATGGGAATAGAAATAATATTTTATAAGGTCAATGTATTCTAAGAAAACCATTTAGATGATGAGTAGTTTGATAAAAGAAAATATTTCTTTTTTTTTTTTTAAAAAAAAAGAAAGAAGTCATTCAGTTCGTACGTGAAAAAATTTCTATGATTCTCATCATAACATCAACTATTATGTTGTAAAACCTAATAAGATTATTATTCATTCATTCTCTTTTTTAATAAGAATAAAATGTCCTTAGATTACTTTAGTCGAAGTATTCCGGAAGTTAATCATCAAAATGTACGGTTAATAATTGTCTCATTAGATAAATTAAAATAAAATGAATTTCAAAATATCTCAAAAAAAACATTTCACATCATCTTCAAGTATTTTAAAATATTATTCCATCTTAATTATCTTTTTTTTTTCAACTGTGAATGCCTTCAACTAACTAATTGCTTTCTTATTTGAAAGCTAGTAAATTGTAAGTTATCGACCATACTCATTCTTTTACGTCTTCACATGATAGTTTTCCCAGATTAACAAACAATTTGCTGAAATGATTTGTGTTCTAGTTAAAACATGAACTATTTAAAAAAAAGAATAGGTTACTGTTTTCCAGACTATTCGATACTCGGAACAGAACAAAGTGAAAAATTCGTAAGTGTAGGAAACCAGCATATGAAGACTTACAGATGTTTGCAAAAGAACTTGCACAAAATTCAATATTTCTTTTAAACGTTTTTCTAGTCGTTAGAAGCAGTTAGACAGTTCATTTTTCTACCAATGAATCATTGATAGATATACTATACATTGAGTATATAAAAGAGTGATTTCTTTCCTTTCTGATAAAGAAATACAAGAAAATTTATTGAAAAAGTGCTAAAAATCAGTATCTACATCAACAATAAGTCGTTATCTTCACGAATATAGTTATAGAAATGTTTTACGACATACTACTCATATGTTAATAGTTGATAAAAAAAAACGACGTATTCAGTGGGCTAAAGATCATAAAGATGATGATTTTACACATACAATAATTACTGATGAAACTTCATTTCAACGTTTTCGAAATACTATTCGTCGTTGGATAAAAAAATCCTAATAACGAATTAAAAATTGTACCTAAAAATCGTTAAAAATGTTGAAATTTCAATTACAAATAATTTTGTTACGTCCAAGAAAAAAAGATATTTGTTTAATATTTCTTCTAAACGTAAACAAAGGAGATATGAAATTACGCTGTAG